TAATCAAGCTCTGTACAAAGATGGCTTTTATCTCGGAGGCAAAGCAGTCAATGAGAAAAAATATGTTAGAAATGCCTTTCAAGAGGGAGATGCCTTCTTCAATTATGGAGACTTGATGTACGTCGACAAGGATTACTTCTTGTATTTCAAAGATCGAGTTGGAGATACTTTTAGGTGCGTACATGTATGGGTGAAATGTCAATTCCACCATGAATTTTATTCTCAAGTTATCTATTCATTATAGATTTAAGTCTCCAAGAATATTTATTGTCTATCCCAATATTTCTTTTGATCAGGTGGAAAGGTGAAAATGTGTCCACGAATGAAGTAGCCAATATTCTGACGGGACTACCTTTTATACAAGACGCTAACGTATATGGGGTAGAAATACCAGGTCAGTTTATACTCTCTCTTACAGGCCAGTTCATAATGATAAGTAATTCTGAAAGCAATGCAGATTCATTGATAGAGAAATATATGGTAAAGCTTCCTTGCAGATACATGTATCATGCTCACAGAAAATATCTTGTAGTGTCATGTTTTGTCCTGTTTTTAAAAAGTGCAAAATAATGAAGTTTATTATACCCCACGCAACTAGTTGTGGGAGGTATAATGTTTTTGACCCGTCCGTCAGTCAGTCAGTCCTCTTTTTTTGTCAGCGCAACTCCTCATAAACCGCTGCACAGAATTTCGTCAAACTTTGCAGGTATTTAGGACACAATGTGTAGATGTGCATATTATCAGGAAATTCCGATTCCATTATTTTTTCCGGGAATTTCCGCACTTTTTAACTTAGGCATTTGGCCATACCTTGAATATAGAGATGAACAGATTGTCAGCGCAACTCCACATAAACCGCTGCACAGAATTTCGTCAAACTTTGCAGATATTTAGGACACAATGTGTAGATGTGCATATTACCAGGAAATTCCGATTCCATTATTTTTTCCGGGAGTTTCCGCACTTTTTAACTTAGGTTTTTGGCCATACCTTTTATATAGAGATGAACAGTTTGTCAGCGCAACTCTTCATAAACCGCTGCACGGACTTTCTGCACTAAATACTTAGGCATTTGGCCATTCCTTGAATGTAGAGATGAACAGTTTGTCAGCGCAACTCCTCATAAACCGCTGCACAGAATTTCGTTAAACTTTGCAGATATTTAGGACACAATATGTAGATGTGCATATTCCCAGGAAATTCCGATTCCATTATTTTTTCCGGGACTTTCCGCACTAAATACTTAGGCATTTGGCCATGCCTTGAATATAGGATGAACAGTTTGTCAGCGCAACTCCTCATAAACCGCTGCACAGAATTTCTTCAAACTTTGCAGGTATTTAGGACACAATGTGTAGATGTGCATATTACCAGGAAATTCCAATTCCATTATTTTTTCCGGGACTTTCCGCACTAAATACTTAGGTTTTTGGCCATGCCTTGAATGTAGAGATGAACAGTTTGTCAGCGCAACTCTTCATAAACCGCTGCACAGAATTTCGTTAAACTTTGCAGATATTTAGGACACAATATGTAGATGTGCATATTCCCAGGAAATTCCGATTCCATTATTTTTTCCGGGACTTTCCGCACTAAATACTTAGGCATTTGGCCATGCCTTGAATATAGAGATGAACAGTTTGTCAGCGCAACTCCTCATAAACCGCTGCACAGAATTTCGTCAAACTTTGCAGGTATTTAGGACACAATGTGTAGATATGCATATTACCAGGAAATTCCAATTCCATTATTTTTTCCGGGACTTTCCGCACTAAATACTTAGGTTTTTGGCCATGCCTTGAATGTAGAGATGAACAGTTTGTCAGCGCAACTCCTCATAAACCGCTGCACAGAATTTCGTTAAACTTTGCAGATATTTAGGACACAATATGTAGATGTGCATATTACCAGGAAATTCTGATTCCTTTATTTTTCCGGGAATTTCCACACTTTCCAACTTAGACTTTTTGGCCATATTTTGAATATACAGATGAACAGTTTGTCAGCACCACTCCTCTTAAACTGTTGTACATAGTTTCGTCAACCTATGCAGGTATTTAGGACATATTCCTTTATTTTATCCCAAAGAGTTTTGCCCTATTATTCAAGAAAATTTCTCACCCCCCCCCCCCTCCCCAACCACTTCAAATTAATGTTTGGATTTGTATAATGCCAAGAAATTTTGATTCCATTATTTATCTAGAAACTTCATTCCACATTTAAATGTCCTCATATGCAAGACATTTTGATGTGAAGATTATTTTGCAATTATTGCCCTTTTTGATCTAGACTATGTATTTAAAGTGCACTAGCTGTGTCTTTCATTATGTGTTTCACCGTCAAGTTTTGTGGGAGCGTGGGGTATGTGAGCTAGCTCACTTTTTCTTTCATTTTGCCTGTTAGACCCAGCAAGTTACAAATACATGTTCATGTTTAAATATTACTTTAAGCTGCCCCAAAAAGTTGCTATAGCTCAATGTATGTCTTACTGTTAAAATATCTTTTGTTATATGTATTTATATAAAATATGTCAAAAAGGGAATAATTTTGTGATTTATTATAAGGGTGTAAATGCAATGCACTACTTCATAATACTAAAAGATATTGAGTTTATTCATTTACCAAAGGATTTTATGGTATTTTATTCAATAGGTAATGATGGTCGAGCTGGAATGGCGGGAATTTTACTGAAGGAAAATGTGGAGTTCCACACAGACCTGTTACCTAAGATCTACCACCACTGTGAGGAGAACCTGCCACACTACGCCCAGCCGGTGTTCCTCCGCTTCATCAAGGAGATGCCGCTGACAACCACTCACAAACAGAGGAAGGTGGAATACGTCAAGGAAGCCTACAACCCCGCTGTCGTGACTGATCCACTGTTCCGCATCTCACCAGAAACCAAAACCTATGTTCCACTCAACACTGAAAATATTGCCCAGTTTTTGGCAAAAGCACGGTTGTGATTGCAATAATTATTTTTTGTTCAATTTATGGTGGCTATTTTCAAATTTAATGACTTCTATGCATAAGTTTTGATGCAAGAAAAACAAGTTGTTTTTTTTTTAATCAGTGGGTGCTATAATTTTTTTTTTTTACATGTATAGTGTGCTAATTTTTTAATACAAAGAGTTTCATAACAATCATTATTTTTTAAAATTTTTGTCAGAAGAGTTTTGAGAAATTTAATAAACATACTTTTTAAAATTTTTGAAAACCTGGTACATGTATCTGTAAAATTCTTGAACTTTTAAGTTTAAACATGTACCCGGCTACCGTTATGTAAAAAAAAATTAGTAAATTCTTTAAAGTATTTTTGAAAAAATTATGCAATGAAAAGAAGTGTACTTGTACCATTGTAAAACCTGACAAGGAAGTACTGGTAGACTTTTTTCAAAATGGAAGTTTTTCCCCATTCTTTCCAAGACCCAATGGGAATATTTATATCACTTGATAACAAAGCAATGGTTGCTGATGTTACTGATACAATTATATCTGTTTTTTTGTGTTTAAGCAATATGGTCCAGAATTTTGCATAACTTTGACCATGATTGATGTAAATGTTAAGAAAAGATTTTTTTGAGAATTCATGTAAAGTTTGTCCTATTCAATTTTCAGATTTCAAATTGATGTTTATACCATAATCATTATAATGACATGCAACACCTGATGGTGATTGAGATAAAACTCATGAATTAACATGCCTTTGTACTGAATTAGTTTAGTCCTTATTTTGATTTTGTTCCCCCACATAATCTGGAATGATTAGATAGCAAGATTTTGTTTATAACTTTGACCAAGAGAAGAGAGTACAAATGAATATTTTCTCAAAGTACATGTAATGCAGTTACTGACTATATTGCCTAAACTGTTATGTATTGTATAAACAAATTTTTACGAATTTTTGTTTAAACTTTTAATATGTAGATGTGTATTAATTAATTTGTTACGATTACACAATTATACATGTGTATCCATTTATAAATGCATGGAGATATGCATTGTTGATTATTTATCCCTGTTGATTATAGCTTCTGTGATTCCATTCTAAATCATTTTACCTTTATTTTACATCATGTTAAATGTGACAACATGTTGAATGATATATTATTGATTGTTAATTTTGCATGCATGGATGCATTCTTATAAACACGTTTTGTTAGTTAAACGAGTATTTTTGTTTAGCAGCAAAATTATAATTGAAATAGCTTAAAGAGGCTGGAGGGTCAACAAATTAACCATCAGTTATAACTTCTTTTATATATATGACATTTTTAAAAGCTGTTAACTATCATTTGATATTTCATACATTTAAGTTTTGAAATTTGAGCATTTTGTACATCTTCATATGGAGCTCTTCTTCTAAAGTAGATCAATTTAGTCTACAAATGACCACAACCCCCAGCCCTCTTAAATACTGTGGAAGTACTTTTTTCCGTGTGGTATTAATTTACACTTTGTACGTGGTCACAAATTTTCCACGGAAATTTGTCCAAGAGTACTTGATATAAATGCAAGGGATATAATGACAGTCGAGGAAATCTGCATAATTTTCTACACGCGGATTAAACAGAAATTGAGATTTCGTGGAATTATGACCCTGTGGAAAAAAGTATGTCTACAGTAACATCCCCCTTTCTTTTCACTCAAATTCAGCAAGTGCCTGTGCTGGATGATTCACAAAAGTATTTCTTGTTGAAATGCATATCGCCTTACTGTTTTTATCTGGTGTGCACTTCATACCAGGGTATTTTTTTACAGACACTTGAAAGGTTAGTAATTCAATCATCCTCAGGTTTTTCATCAATGAACTATTTTAGTATTGACTGATTATTATAAAAATAGGTACAATGTTTATGATTTATTTACATATATGTATATTTTGTTAAAATTGAATAGATAAATATATACATAAATATGTTATGAAATGTGTGTCCTTTATTTTGAGCTTTGGTTATTTTTATGCCTCCGATCAAAAGATTGTTGAGATATACTGTAATCGTATTATATTTAGCGTGTACGATATTTAGCGGAAAATGATTTTTTAACAAGTTAGCCTAGATTTCATTTCGCGTATTTCTTAATGTTCTTATTCATATATCAATGTTTAAGAAATTTAGCAATGTACTTGAATTAGCGGAAGTATCTTTCCGCAAAAAGCGCTAAAAAGAATACACCGCCAAATGTAATACGTTTACAGTATTGTTTTTATCCTATCTGTCTGTTTTTCTGTCCGTCATCAACTTTAACCTATCCCATAACTATTGAGTTGGTGTGGCTATGGCTTTCATATTTCACAGGTGTATTCCTTGTGACAAGACCTTTCTTTGGGTACCACCAGATTTGACCTATTGACCTTGAAGTTTGACCTACTTTTACAAAAAAGAAACATACTTTAACCTTGGCCATAACTTCTGAACAGTTGGAGCTAGGGCTTTCATACTTCATAGTGTATTTAAGAGTTTGACCCACTTTTTAAAAACATTAATCTTGGTGATAACTTTTGAACAGTTTCAACTACGGATTCATATTTCACAGGTGTATTCCTTGTAACAAGACCTTCCTTTAGATACCAACACTTTTGACCTTGACGTTTGGAGTTTGACATGCATATGAGAGAATTCAACCCTTGCCATAAGCTGCCATACAGGGGCATCAGTTTTTCACAAACACATCTTGTTTTTTTTGGCTCCTTTCAAGATTATGTAACCTCTCCCACTCTTGACATTGGTGTCACAGTTTAAGGAGCTAATCCATTCTTATACCCTCATAAGTTTGATATCAAAGTTTTGCCTTTCAGTGAGGAATCACAGTAATTACTGTATACAGGGTTATTTTCACTCCACTTTACTTTTGTCCTTTCACATTTGCAAACAATTTTGCCGTTTTAAATTGGCCCGGTCACAGTTTTGATTGAGAAATTATTCTGTATTCTTTGAATTTGCCCCTTTTTAATTTTGCCTGAGGTTATGGCGAAAGGGGCGAAAATAAAACCAGGGTGAAAATTTTCCTGTATACAGTATTAATTGTAATAATGTAATTCTGACTTTGACTTGATGTGGCCATAAAATCAAAAAGTGAGGTGAAGATAACCTCAGCTACATTGAATTCATAAAATGATCTGGATAGTTTGATGTCTTTAACTGTAAACTTCATCGTAATACCCTTTAAATCTTTGGTTTGTTGAGATAAAATAGCTATCAGATGACATAAGGACAGGAAAACCCAAACCATAAAATGGCCCATCACAAGATGGACCATATTAAAATTTTATCTATGCCTCTGACATAATTTCTTCATCTCATTGACAATATCCTTTGCACTATGACATTGTGGCAAGATCAAGATATTGTTTTTGTCATGAGCCACTTTCAATTCAGAGTTGAAAAATTCTGTACCAAAATTTCAAGACAAAGCATTAACCAATAAATCTTTGAGATGGAGAAACCATCGGTGTTTCACAAACACCTCTTGTTTTCTTTCTGCAGAACTTAATTCCCCTATTTAATGGGAATAAAAATACAATAGGTACAATAACATTAGAATACATTGCAAAATTTATTCAGTTTCCACACTCTAACTCAACTCTATCTTGGTAATCCGCACACACACACACACACACACACACACACACACACACTAAAAACACACAGTCAGATAATATATACCGGTAATTATAAAAACAATTTAATATCAATTCTCTGTAATTATCAAAATTGGTTGGCCACGCATAGAAAAACATTTTGATTTTTTTATAATAATTTTAAAGAGCTATGTCATTAATTATAAAATCTAAAGTGGGTTTATGAAATAGACCCTTGGTTGCCATAGAAACGGGGTGCAAAATTCTCAATTTTGTTAATTTTGAAAAATGTGTACTTATCAAGAAAAACTGTGTCCAGAAATAAAAAGGGATAACTTAATATGTTTTCATTATTTAAATTTAATACTACAGATTAAAGTAATTATATCTGTAGTTTTAATTTAATCTCTCAATAGTAAATGGCCATTTTACATATTATAACATATCAGATATGTGATTGGTTTAGTGGAGTTTTTGGAGGCTTAAAACAAAAAAGGCACACTGATTACAAATTTAGTAATAATTAATTATGAAAGGCTGATATTTGATTATATCAAAATATGTAAAATATTGGTGGGAGACTCAAAGATGTAAAAGGAATTCAAAGGTAAAGATTACTTTTTTTCTACATTTTGAAACATTTTTTGCTTCCTAATTACTTCCCTTGAACTACTCTCTAACATTTGGAGGTACAATGTGTATTTAGTAAACAGCAATGAACATTTTCTGGCGAAAGACCTCATCAAAGTTTTACAGTCTGGAAGAAGAAAAGAAGACTAGACATCCTAAACAATGAAGACAGAAGGTAAATTTATGTATATACTGAGCATTACAAAAATATCAAGATTAACAAATGCATATTTTCTTAATTTTATTTGCCTTACAATACACAGTTGTTTTACCGGTAGTGGTCAGTGGTCCTTATCAAATCAAGCGAACTATACCTCTTGACAGTTTGACTTTCTGACCAATGAATTAATTATTTTTATTAGTAAAAATGAATTTGAAGCATATAAACATCACTTGGTGATACAGCTGAACCCCCCCCCCCCCCCCCCCGAAATATAAATGTCTATAGGGCCTATAGAGATTGTATAAAATCTGGAACATACTAAAGACCTGATATGCTAAAGACCTGATAATTTGACCTGATGAAAAAAAAATCATAAAATTATCAATTTAAAGATTATATTTCAAATATAAGTTGGAAAATTATTGATGAAATTATACCAAATTACACTTTATAGGGGATAACAGACTTTGTATCAAGGAGTACTTTCAAAAAGTTGGTGACCTGATATTATTGAATGACCTGATATTTTTGAATGACCTGATAGTTTAAGTGAAGACCTGATATTTTTATAAATGACTTGTTAGGGGTGGTTTTAAATGACCTGATATATTAAATAATTCTTTTAGAAAGGTTAAACATTTTAAAAGGTTTTGAGAAGAAAATTTTTGCAGCAATTTATGAAAAAAAAAGGATTTTGAAATGACCTGATGATTTCCTACTAAAGACCTGATATTTTATGATGACCTGATATTTCTGAATGACTTGATGGGTTTAAATGACCTG